TCCCTTGAGTGTGGCATGTAAATTGTGGGATGGTTCCGGGGTTGTAACAAAAGTAAAATTAAACATAGGACCGCGGGACGTAACGGGTGTAGGGGGCCGTAACTGGGCGCCCGGGTCCATATTTCGCTTTCCAGTAATAGAACGCCGTGTTGCCGTCGAGGCGAGCCGGATTCGATTCCAACTCCGCAATTTCGTGGATGGGAGAGAACCGCGTTGATTTTATTCCCCCGTTGCTGACGACAATCACATTCGAAGATGTGCAATTGGCTGTTTAGTCTAGTGGTATGATTCTTCCTTCGGGTGGAAGACGGCCTGGGCTCGATTCCCAAAGCAGCCCCAAACAACGCAACCGAAACTGGGCAACGTCGTTCAGGTTCCCCAAAAATTGACAGCAAAGCAGTTGGATGTTTGGTTCAGTGGCATGATTCTTCTTTAAGGTGGAAGATGGTCTGGGTTCGATTCCCAGAAGTTCTCGAATTTCCCACTATTTCCGGCGTAAGTATGGAAGCACGGATCTTGAACACGCAGATAGTTTTTGGTGGGGGTTGTGGCTTTCGGTGGTCAATCTCAGCTTATTGTCAGTAAGTTAAATCCCGTCGTATCTACGGATACGCGAGGATGCCCGAGTGGTGCAAGGGGTAGCCTCAAGTTCTACTATGCAGTGTATGCACGGGTTCGAATCCCGCTCCGTGTATTGCCGCCCGTGAAAGCCAGGCTGAAAGCGTTCATGATTGGCGTCTGCCGGGAACCCGACCCGGGTCGCCTCGATGGCAACGAGGCATTCTACCAGTAGGCCCGGGCGCTGAAGAAGTAACAATATCTTTGGGCCGCGGGCCGACTGGTACCCGTTGTCCGTGACACTGTTGGTGTGAATGTGGCAATCGACGCTTTTGACAACTACCTTGGAGTGCGTTCAACACTCACTACAGTGCGGTATCTCGTCATCCCATCGACACTTGCCGCAGTCAGCTAACTACTTATCACCTTGAGCCCAGAGCGAGTCGAACGGCCTACTGTTTGATCTGGAGTCAAACGCGCTGCCATTGCGCCTCATGATTTGCGTCTGCCGGGAATCCGACCCCGGTCGCCTCGACGGCAACGAGGCATTCTACCACTAAACCACAAACGCTGAAGAAGTAACAATATCTGCGGGCCGCGGGCCGACTGGTACCCGTTGTCCGTGACACTGTTGGTGTGGATGTGGCAATCGACGCTTTTGACAGCTACTTTGGTGACTCGAGCGCGTTCAACACTCACCACAGTGCGGTATCTCGTCACCCCATCGACACTTGCCACAATCAGCTAACTACTTACCCCCTTGAGCCCAGAGCGAGTCGAACGCCCTACTGTTTGATCTGGAGTCAAACGCGCTGTCATTTTGCCATATGTCCGTGGTATTAGCCAACTCCGTCACACCCATAGGACGCCGAACCGTCGGGTCGAGGAAAGTAGGATCGGCGTTCGGTGGACGGAGGCAATCTAGCCGCCGGCCACTACA